AATAATCTCACAAAACAATAAAATAAAATAAAACAATAAAAACAAAACAACCTCCCAATCCCTACCAATATCATGAAAGCAACAACAGAACCTCAAATCATCCTGATCCGTGGCCTCCTCGCCAACCGGAACACCTTCTTGAGGAAGAGGTTCGCCGTTGGATCGTCCCTATAGCAAAGCACCCTGAGTATAGTGTTAGGGTCCGAGCGCCCCCACTTCCCAGTCGTAGGTGGCAGTGGCACCCCTGAGCCCCCTCCCACTCCCATTCTGCTCATCAGCTCCTCAATCAGCTGCTCAGACGCCTGCCCCATCATCCCCACCACATCCTCCACCGTCTCGCTCTCCTTATCCACCATGTCCTCCACTAACAAACCCTCACCGCACGTGCAAAACATGCGCTTCAAACTCTCCAAGTCTTCTTCAATAGCCGCGTGATCTGCTCTGCCGAACACCCTCGAGCTCCCTCCAGCTAGAAGCACGAGAAGGAAGGCCTCGAACGAGGCCCGCATGACTTCCTTGAGGGCAAGCGGTTGCACGCGCTCGGCGACGATCGCGCAGAGCAGCGTCAGGTTCTGCTTCAGCAGCCTGAGCGCGGGCCGGACGCGGGCCCTGGCCACGTGGCCCGCGTAGAGCCCTCCGTAGAACACGGAGTTGGAGTCGAGGAAGACTAGGCGGTACGCGGAGACTTCGGCCACGTGGCGGGAGGCGTCCTGGAGGGACAAGAGGGAGAGCTCGAATCGAGCTGGGGTGGGAGGGGCCTTGGGGGAGAGGGAGAGGGCCTTGGCGAGGGAGTTAAGTTGGGAGGTGAGGTAGTGGATGGTGTTGAGTCTGATGTAGAGGCGCTGGGTCCCACGGCTAGTAGAGGGACGCGGGTTGTTGTTGTTGTTGCTGAGACTGCTGGCTTGCTCGATTATTGGGTTTGATACACCCACACTGCATGCGGTTCGAAACAGTTTGGATAGTTTGGAGTCACGGCTGCATCGGCAAAGGGAAGGGAGTGTGGGGAGATAACTTTGTTTTGTTCCTGTCAAACGAATGTATGAATGTATACGTAAGATAAATTATGTAGTGTGAATTTGCGGTGTTTAATAATAAGTAGTGTTGGTTTCTCACCGCATGATGAAACGAACGCGATGTAATCTTGGAAGAGATTCTCTACGCCTTGGACAAAATCGAAGAATAAATTCTCCGACAAGTTGACCGGAATTTCGAAGAAATCGTCCACGGCTTCCTTGGCAAACCCAGCTAGCTCAACGGCCGAATTAGCGTAAGGTTCGCTTTTCGACTTGGGATTCCATGTCTGCAACTCATAAGACATTATTTACCATCAAACAAAGCTTTATGACGCATGTGACAAACTAAAATTCTTAAACTTACTTCTGTCTGCTTTGCCCTAAGGACATATTCTTTTCCCTTCTGCAGCCTCTCCTGAACCCACTGTTTCAATAGCCTTAGTATGAAGGAGTCGACTTCATAGGGAACCATTTCCCTCACGATCGTTTTCCCCCCATCCTCACAGTCAACCGAGTCCTCCACCACTAATTGTACCAAAAACTTCTCAAGTTTACCGGCCCTCTGCAGTACCAAGATGGTCTCATTCAAGGATGTGGATTTCTCAGTTAGGTATTGCTTTAACAATGTTCCGAAGCACGTGTGTAGAGTGACAGCGGCAACTCCAGCGGCAACCGGATGCCATTTCTTTAGAACAGGGCTGAAAATATCCTTCTCCTTGAGGGCTAATTCTTCTGTCTTTTTTGCCAACTTAATGAGCAACTCGCTCACTTCGTGTGCTTCTGTGTACTTTGTACCGTTGACATTTTGATCTTCTAGCATCTGTCGACAAAAATTCAATAACAATGTCAAACAAAATTGTCTATGAGTGCTTGGTTAAGTCACATTACAATCATAAAATGAAATCTGAAATGATCTATCGACCGCTTTTCTATACAGTGAAGTCGTGACTTTCTGTAGAATACATAAAAAAAAAAAATTATGTTGGAATTGAAAACGACTAAAAACGAGACTACCTTCTTAATGTGAAGAGCGTAATCACACTTCTTTTAGTAATGTTTCCAAACTTCATAAAAAAAATTTGTAAAAAAGTGCTTGAGTTATTAAAAAAAGTAAATTCAAAACATAAGTAGCAGAATCCATAAGCAAAAACGAGTTTCCGAAGTCGACATTTGAAATTAACATTTTTTTTCATAATGAACAACAAACCTTGGCAAACGCATTCCTCAACGACGACCGAACGTAATAATCAACCCGGTTCCCGGCCGACTCATCCCTGGCATCCCTTTGCAAGACGTAACTCGGCACATCCTCCTCCAATATCTTAGCCGCAGAGAAAAGCAGCGGCAGAATACTTTCCATGACACCCAACGTCCCTCTCCCGAAATTATCATGATAACTAAATAGCCTCCTCTCGCACCACCTAGTGAGGCTCCCCATTACCCCAGCCAGCATCCGCAAGTAGACTGGATCCCGGTCAGCCCTCTTGGCATCATTAGCCACCTCAGTCAACATATTGAACGACGCCCCAAGCAAATCTGGCTCCACCTGCCCCGTCCCCACGTACTGCTCGAAAAACACCCACATGAGGCATAGGTTGTGGAGTGGGCGGGTAACCCCAAGGGTGGACCAAGTCTTCTTCATGAGCTCGAAAAGCTCGTCGACCTCGTCGAGGACGAGGGTCTCGTCCTTGAGGTCGAATATGGCGGAGAGGAGGCCGGTGTAGAGGTGCATGTTGAGCGGGTAGCCGTCTGCCCAGTGGGGGTAGCCGTCAGTGGGGCTCGAGCGGCAGGCAAGGGAGACGACGCACGTGCAGAGTGAACGCATTGTGGGGGAGTTCTTGGACGTGTCGATGGGGTGGAGTTCGGAGGCTTGGATGATGGCACGGAGGTTTGGGGCGAAGGTGTCGGAAGGGTCGAGAGAGGTGGAGGGATAGAGGAGAAGGCCTGCTTCCAGAATCTTCAGCTGCCGTCTCTGCCAGAGGTGGTACTCGTGTGGGTCGCTGAACTCCGAGGGCTTGAGGTGGCGGAGGAGCTCCAGGGGTAGGATGATGGTTTCCGCTCGTCTCCCCATCTACCAGAACATTAGATATGGTCTTAACCGAACATTACCCACAACAAACGGCAAAATTTTCAAATTGGTCCTATAACTTGGCCACTGTCCAAAAAACCACCTCGATATTGATCACTTTCAATTTAGGTCCTATAATTTGTCGATTTCATCAATTTTGGTCCTGTTTTATCCGCCCCTGGATTACAAAGTGACGTGGCATGACGTGTCACTTTTTCAATGTTACGTGGCGTGATTATGATCTACGTGGCACGTCAATTTTGGTCCTATAATTTGACGATTTCATCAATTTTGGTCCTTTTTTCATGCCACGTCACTTTTTAATCCAGGGTGCGGATAAAAAAGGACCAAAATTGATGAAATCGATAAATTATATGACCTAAATTGAAAGTGGTCAATATCGGGGTGGTTTTTTGGACAGTGGCCAAATTATAGGACCAATTTTAAGATTCTCCCCACAACAAACAGACAGACAAAAACAAATAAACAAACACATGCAGAATGATTATGTTACGTAATACGTACTTGGCCTACAAGAGTGCGCATGAGAGTCTTCCGCAGCCTGTTGTCGCTCTCCTCAGTCACCCTCATCTGCTGCCTCATGATCTCTGCCGACGTCATCGGCCGCCTCAGCCGCGGGCCCAACCTCGGGCTGGATCTCGGGCTCGACCCTGACCCGCCAGGGGACAACGGGTTCGACCCGCACGAGCTGGCGCGTCTAGAAGACGGGGACCGGCGCATCATCTTCAGCCCCAACGCCCTCTTCACTCGGCTCGTCACAGCCATCCCCACGCCTGGGGCCTTCACCGTCCCAGGCCCAGTCGCGTCCCCATCCGAATAGTATGATATGGCAGTCCGTCCCCCGAAGCCCGGTGTCGAGCGGCACGCAGTGAAGAAAACCTCATATGCGGCCTCACAGAAGTCCCCACGATCGAGGCCGTCAAGGCTTCCCAATGGGGAAAAGAGGTTGGTGGAGGAAGGCGGGGATGGGTGGGTCCGGATTGGGCTGGGGCTTGGGCCGGTGTTGGAGAGGCCCACAAGACGGCCCATTTTTTTCCTTTTTTTGGGGTCAAGTTATCAAATGTCTGGCGGCAGAGATGGGTGAGAGAAGGAGGTGAACATTATAGTTTATTGGGTTCCTTTTTTCTGTGTGCCGGGGAGAAGATGAGACAGAGAGAGAGAGAGAGAAAGGAAGGGAATTAATGTTTGTATAGAGAGAGAGAACGATGAATGGTTGTGAGTTGTGCTTGTTTTCAACTGAAATTGGCGAATAACAGAGGTGCGGAGTGCTTATAGGAGCGCGCGTGTGTATAACCAGACTCAGGAAAATATTTCTATATATAGTTTCTGATTACCCAATCACTTTTGGATTTGGCTTATTATAATGTTGTACACCCTTCAAATCACTTTTTTCATTAATATCTCATTCCCGTTTAGTTTTAGACTATTGTTCTTTGCCAATTTTGTTCTGTAAAAATGAGAATTTGTGATTGTTGTGTAAATAAGGTTTTTGGCTGTGATGCTGCATCATTTGCTTTCTTTACTCACTTGATGACAAAAGATATGTATCTATATCTATATCTATATCTATCTATCTATATACACTATTATAAAAAGACGAGTGATTTTGTAAAAATTTAAACGGACTAAAAAATCCTTGTATATGATATATTTTTAATGGTAAAATTGTAATCAAATTAAGTAGTTGAATTAGTAGAAATTTTATAAATTTTGGACTCTAATCACGATATTCAAAGAAGAAATATCTCCCTAATTGCAAATGGACGTTAAAAAGGCTCCGTCCATATTATAAATTAGACATCTTTTGTTCTATAATAATTTATGTATTATCTAAGTGAATATATGACATAAAATAACCCACTTATCCCATTGGTAGCCGCTAAAAAATGTCAAACGGAAATGCCAAAATAGAAAGAGCTAATGAACATCAAAATTAAAGGTTAATGAGCATAACTGTAAACTAAAATTATCAAACGTATCATTTTTTTAATAGAGATATTTCTCCTGAATAGCAAGCTCAGAAGATGCATGAGACTATCATGATGAACTCTATAAATTAGATTGAAATGCTCATACTGACTTAATGTAAAAATATAAAATAACATTTTAAATTAAAAATAAGACAATACATAACTAACTTACCTTATATGAAATAATATATTATTAAAAAATTATTATTCAATAACAAGTTTTGACAAACTAAAATTTAGTTTGTATTTTTTTGTTTGTCATAATATATAGTATATTTGATTTTAAAAGACATTAATTAGTTATTTTAATGTCAATATTGGTGATTGAAATAATTATATACATCCATATATCATGATTTTGAGATGATATTTAAGTTTTTAGTTTTAAATTTAACATTAATTATTCATCTTTTGTCATTCACTTTACATTATTTTGCACAATATACTGAACATCAAATGTGCATTTAGCCCAAAACAATCTTTTCAATATACATATTTTAAAACTTTACATTCCATAAGTGAAAAATTAATTATAATTAACCAAAAGATTTATTTTTTAATGTTTTAAACTATAAAGCTAAATTATAGAAATTTTATGTTAAATGAGACTGAGTACCATATGCTTATTAACAAAATAAAAAATAAAAGTAGTATTTCAACGAGAAAAAAAAAATCATTCAAATAGCTATAACTAGAGATAGATCGAGTGAAGAAAATATACAAAAATTATGTCATTATAAACGAGAAAATAACATGAGTAATTTAAGAAGATTTGACTAGCAAAATATTTATTGAGTTATGGTTTTTATATATTGCCAATAAAAATAATCTATCTATATATTATTATTATTATTTATTTTTATTATAAAACAACGAGTGATTTTGTAAAAATATGAATTTCCTAAAAAACCCTTACTTTGACATATTTTTAGTAGCAAATTAGTAATACACAAATACCCATCTTATCTTATATTTTTAATTAACAAATGAACTACCTAAAAAATCCTTATTTTGACTTATTAGAATGGTAAATTAGTAATATACTGATAACCATCAGATTTTAAAAATTGAGTCTTTGTTTTATTGGATTGTATTTTGATCCCAGAAAAATTGTCATTTGTTTGTATGTTTGTTTTTTCCAATTTCGGTCACAAAATCAATAAAGTTAATGAATTTTCACCTGACCATTCAAATATCAAGGTGAATAATATTTTAATTATTAACACTTAAAATATTTAGACTTTTTCATTCAATAATTAACTAAAATATATTATGATATTTTAATTATTATTACTTACTACTACATAAAAATTCTTATTTTTAAGAAAAAATACAAAAATAATTGCTATATTGCAATGAAAAACCTGAAGGCAGATATTCCGCTCAAAATTTCAACGAATATTTCATTGGTATAACTTTCATTGGAAATTTTTATTGACTATTCCAAAAAATATCAAATTAAATTATATTTGAGTTTTAATGGATTTAATAATTCTAATTACCATTAATTATTTTTGTGTGAATTTTCGTTAATATTTTTTCTTGTATCGTATTTCATCCGTTGGCAAAAATGTAATTGGAATTGTAAAAAATCAATGTAAGTTTCATTGAAAAACTAATTGCAGTGGCATATCCAAAATAATTTCATATTGGTGGAATAGTTAGTTAATAGAAAAAGGATACCATCAAAATAACATAATGTCATTACAATTTAAAAATAATAATTTTCATAATTTGAACATCTTTCTCATTCGTAATATATAAATAAGTTTTAACATAACAATACAGTCACAATTAGTTAAAAAATATTTAAGAAAAAAGCATAATATTTTTCAATTCAACATAAGAAAATCATTGAAAATAATATATTTTTTAAAATTTTTATGAACAAAAAATTTATATTTTAGTATAGTTGACTCAACTCGACTATATTATTGATGAATTTATAAATTATGAACATATAGATAGAATTCCATATGCATTAGTTAAAAAAGATATAAAAAAATATGTTTTGAAGTTAGAGAAAACAATTTCTCTCTCCCCCTCGTTGCCCAAAAATTCCTGAAACCTAATCCCATAAATTCAAGCTCGCCGTGTGCCTTCCCCGGCGATTCGCCGGTCCCTTTGCCGGCGGATGGCTCGCCGCTGCACCCTCAACCCTATTTTCTTCTCATCTACATCTCTTCTCCCCTGCGTCGATGGCGGATCTGAGGTCTCAAACACCGATGGTTGTCTCGGTGGTGTGGATTTTGGGCCGCGTTGTCGAGGGTTGGCTCGCCTTTTGGTTTCGCTCTGGTTTGGTTCGCTAGTGGCGAGCTCGATTTCGGAGCTTTCGGTGGTGGGCTCGTCTTGCAGTGGGATGTGGGAGTTTGGTGTTTGGTCGGGTTTTGGGGGTGGCTCTGGATGCTCGGCTCGCCGGAGTTGAGTGGGCTAGGGCTGAGGCAGGTCGATTCGAGCCCCCTGTATTCCTCGCTACTGCTGTTGTGACGTGGGGTGTCCGGCTTACCGGGTCTAGGCTAGTGGTGTTGGCCGGATCTAGGGAAGCCGGAGTGTGGGGGGACTGGTCAACTTTCCTCCGGCTGTGGGTCGGTTTTCACTTCTTGGAGTTGTTCGGGGCCTCGGATTTTGGCTTCAGCTAGGCGTTTCGGCAGTTTCGGGAGCCGATTTCTAGGTTGTGGTTCATCTCTGTGGGTGTTTGTCCGTGATTCTGCTGGTGCCTCGTGTTGGGATTGGTATTATTGCTGTGGGAAGGGTTGATTATGCTTTTTTAGTTTTTTTGTTTTGTTATGTGTTGTAGGTGTGTGCTCGTCTTGTGTTTGTCTTTGTGTTTTAGTGTTTTTGGTTTGGGCCGTTGGCCCCTGTTAACCTGGGTGTTACCTTTATTCTCCTGTGGGGAGCCAACACCTAGGCGTTCTCTCTGAGGGGAGCTTGCAAAAAAAAATAAAAACAAAATAGAGAGAATAGAGTTATCATTCAAGATTAAAAAAATAGAATAAGAGAGTAAAATTATAATTTTGATATTTTTTCATATTTTCTTATACCGCGTTTATGTTATAACTTTAATAAAGTTATGAACTGAATTAGTCTATAATTGGTGAGGTTGTAAAGTAATTCATTATGTATTTTCTTTCTTTTAATTTTATTATCAAAATAGGGGACATGATTAAAATTATGAAAAATATTTCCACAATTGTAGTTAGATACCTTATCCTAGATGTTTTGGGATGAGGGTCTGTGTGGGGCCTATAAAAATGGATTTGCCCATGATTCCAACAAAATATTTTTGTCAGAAGCTTTTAATTAAAAAATTCAAAAGGAGGTAATAACATTGAAATATTCGTTAGATTATCATTGAAATTCTACTGTAATATATTTTCGTCGAAATTTCATAATTTTTCTTGAAATAAAAGAAGGGCTCTCAATCAATAAAAAAAATTTACATTATATATAATATTGCGTGCAACTAATTATTATGAAAATTGGTGATAATGATTGAAAATATAACAAATTTAATGCAATTTTCATTTAATTATGATAATTAGATATTTTTCAAACCAAACAAGATACATCAAGGTTTCAAAGTATTTAATTATTTTATTACTATTATAGTAACTAAACAAGGGGTAAGAATGATGTTATGCGTAATAAAAATGTAAGACTAGGCAATAAGAAAACATATAGCTCGCATTCAATTCATAAGTAAAAAAAGTGATAAAATTAATTAATGTCCTATATCAGTTGGAGCTGGCTAATGAAAAATATAAACATATTCAAGATGAACATTTATTTTAGCTAGACTTTTAGTACATAAAAAGTATATATTTTTTGCATTAAAAATTGGTATGTTAGTCTTAATTTTTTAGGTACAAATATAATTACTGAATACCATTAAAATTTTTAATTTTAAAATACTTAATGTTTATTTATTTGTTACCCTTTTTATACATAATATATCACAACATTTCTTTCCAGTGATGTTTAATTTGACCAATGTGTTGTAAATAAAATAAAATAAATATACTTAGTTCTATCGATATAAAGTCATATATATATATATATATATATATATATATATATATGAGTAAAAAATAACTATGACAAATTAAATAGTCCCTCAAGTTGTTCTTGAGCATAAAGGATCATGTAGCTTAACTTTTTACTCTTAAATTTAACCCTTTTTTTTTTTCATGGGAGAAGCTCCTTATAATGCAATACCTGGGTGTTTTTAAGTTATGTCCCAATCATTTCATCTATTGGTTAAATGTTGTCATTGGGTTGAGTGTGTTCTGTAATTTGTATGTGGATAGATTGCGATCATCGGAATAGATCACAGGGTGGAAGATCACGAAGGAATTTGTTGAATCTCTCTCTTACTTGTCATGAGTGTGACCGACCTAAACTTCAGCTACCTCTTAATAATAAGGTGTCTTTTGCCTTTTTATAAGTTTGTAGCAGTAATGTAAGCTAATAATGATAGCCTAACATATTTATAAGTCAAACAGAAACAAATTATTGAAATAAAAATATATCATGGAAAACTAAGCACATTGAAACCATTAATTTGAAAATTAATCAGAATATCAAATGGCTGTTCAGGTAACAAAATGACTTGCTGCTCAATGGCTCAACATTTTGAAATAAACTTCTGAAATTAGTTAAAAACTAAAGGAAAAAATCATAGGTAGTAAAAAATCAGTGTTCTAAAAGTCGCTAGGCTCTCAACCAGCGCCTAGCGCCTAGACGGTGCCTAGGCGGCGTCTAGTCGAGGCCTAGAAATCAATATTAAATACCTTATTTTTTATTTATTTTAACTACCTACAAAATAAAACTATCTCTACTTATAATATATCCACAAACCTAAGTCCAAATAACAATATTAATATATTTTATGAAAAAACATGAGAACAAAATAATGTAATTAGTATTAAAAAAATAAGTGAAAAAAAACTGAAAAATTGCCGTCGAGCCCGCCTAAGAGCACCTAGGTCCGCCTATGCCCGCCTAGGCACCGCCTAACTGCCTGGCCACCGAACCCGCCAAGTTCGCCTAGGAGCGCCTAGGGCCGCCTAGCCGCCTGGCCGATTTGTACAAATCGGAGGCGGCTAGACACCGCATAGGCCGATTTTTAGAGTAGAGTAAAAAATAACCCTATTACTTATATTACCCTGAAGTTTTCAATTACATGGAGTATGATATATTTACAATGCAAAGATATTTATGTACAATATTTTTTACATGGACCATGGTGTATTTATAATCAAAATATATATTTACAAACATAAAGCAGAAAGTCAATTCAACATTAACTTATAAAAGGTTTAATTATTGCTTTATAAACATGAATATCCTTACTTGTTTAATCTGTAATCTATATATATATAAAGAGGTTGTTGGAAAAGTACATTAATAGAAAGTTTGACCAAATAAATATAATGTTTGACTTACTATTAATAGAAAGTTCAAAAAAACACATGTGAATCTTTAGTAACAAAATCTAAATCCTAACTTTTTGTTAACAAATTTGGAGATTCTTATGGCAAAATTTGAATCCCATATTTTTCTTATTTTTATTTTTTACCAAAATTTATCTCATATCTTTTCTGGTAACAAATTTGGAGATTCTTATGCAAAAAATGTGTCAATTATTTATGAAAGCAATTCTAAATACAAATTAATTTAAAAACCGTGGAAATTGGATACAAATTTAGGAAGCAAATAGTTGTATAATTCTTAATCAATTCTTCCAACCTTATTGAATAATTTTTTCTTTCAAAAAAATTGTGTAAATTGGATAAAGCCACATGCAATTTTTATTTTAAAATAAAACTGATATTTGGACGGGATGTACATTCAAAATTGTGTCCACATTTTTTGGTAACAAAAGCAGTTCATCATTGATATTTAAAGTCACCTTATCCAATTATTTAGGAAAAATTATGTACAACTTTTCAAAATTTAAATGCATCGATTTTTTTGGATTCTTATGTTTTTTCTTAACCATATTTTACCGAGATTTTGGTAAGTTCATATCATTTTATTTTTTGGTTAAGTTCATATCATTTTCTGTAGAAAAGAGACAGTTGCATAAACATTAACAATTTGTTTCAATTTTTTGTTAGAATTATTTTCAATTCAATTTGTTTGGTACAAAAATTGTGCAATGTTAGAAAAATTTGGTTGCATTTTTAGGAAAAATTGATGATTTTTTTTATTTGGTTTAAAAAAAAAAAATCGGATCAATTTGTTTGATAAAAAATCGATTTCATTTCCGGGACTAACTAATGATTCTTTTCAATTTTTCTTAATTGAAATTTAGAATTAGATTTAAAATAAATAATGGGTGAAAATCCCTAAAAAATTTTACTTTTTTTTTCTACTTTAATTTTGTTCCTTTAATTTTTTTAAAATTTGTGAACTAATAACTAATAATATGCAATTTTGGATAAATTCGAACACCTATGTAGTACTTTACATGCCAAAAAATCAAATCAATCATGTTGTACATAAGAAAGTGTTTAATAACATATAAATTTTATTTTCATGGAATTTTTAATGGCATGAGACAATTTAAATACAAAAATATCGTTTAAAAAATATATATCCCGTGCATCGCACGGGCACCGTACTAGTAATATTAGGTAAAGTTGATGTTGGATTAATATGCTAGCAAAAAGGAGCAATAAATGCAAAAGTAATGCATGGGCCATTTGACGGAAAGAAAGGGCCCAAAAATATTATATAACAATTGCCAAAAACTTGGACCACCAGCCCAAACATGAATAATTAAGCAATTAGGAATGACCGAACAAAATGTCACGTGTCAGCAAAAGAAACCCACAAACTCACGCTTATTAATATAGAAGAAGAAGAAGGATATATATATATATATATATATATATATATTAGAAGGCTACGGCTGTTGCCCAAGTCAGGCATACATTTGATGTTTATTAAAATTCGAAGGGAATATAAAAATAATGGAAGGACGATTACATTAGTGGATTAGAAATTCACAACACATGAGCAGCAAAAGAGTTACAGTATCTATTAAGCGACAACAAAATATACCAAGTTTGCACCAGAATTTAAAAGCATCTATACGTAAACAGATGCTTAGAATTCTGGGCAATATAATTGGTAGACACAAAAGTTCAGTTTCTGTGGCATACATGCCAATAAGAAGTTACAAAAAAGGCAGCAACATCCATATGTGAGTAGATGGCTAAAAGAGTTATCATGTAGTTACAAAGCACAAAAGGTATGGTCCATAGAATTTGTGATTCCCAAAAGTGAACATGCAGTCATACAGAAGTTAGTCCATTTTTGGACGACTTTTCTTTGTCGGGGTTGTATCACATGCTGGGGTGGTTTGCTGAGCTGTTTGGGTGGATGTTTCAGGAATTTGTGTGAATGGGGTGCTGCTTCCTGTGGTGGAGGATTGTTGGTTGTTGAAGTTGATGCGTTTTTTGACTGCCGGTTCCGAGGATGCAAGTGGTGCAGGTTTTTCGCGTGCTGGAGTGAGGGAGGTCAGAACGTTTTTGAGTGTTGGACTGAAGAGCTCTTTGTCTGGTATCTGTTCCGTGAATGTAGATTAGTTGCAGTAAGATGTTTGTTAAGTAATAATTTTATAGATTTTTTATATATGTCATAGTTGATATTATACCTTGATTGAAGCTGAGGCTGATGCTTGTTCTGCCAGGTGCTTAGGTTCGAGGAAATTTTTGTCTGCTTGCATGGCATCAACTGTATAAAGCTTTAGGACGGTGTGGTGAGTCGATTCGTAGTGTTTGATGAAGCAAACCACACGATGTTCATTCATTCCTGCTGTAATTTGACCTGTCAAATCTACCCCCTGCAGTTAACAAGGAAAATATATTTTATAATAGTAAAAATAGAAGATGGCAGATATTTTAAGCAGTTCAGGTAGGCAGAGGGCACATTACAGTTATAAAGGGTGAAAACGATAACCAAAGCAATTGAATTGATTATGGATGCATAAATGAACACTTGATATTGGCAAATTATCTGCAATTTTTTTTTTTTTTTTTTTTTTTGTTTCTGTATAAAGTAATGCAAATGAAGATGTAAAATAACCTGTTGTTCGGCTTCATATAATTCAGTCCCATTAAATGGAATTACTCGCTCAGCATCTGAATCATACAACATTGCATGTATGTTTCCGGTTGCGTCTTCAATTGCAACTGGCAATCGACACCTAATTGTCATGAATGAAACAATATGCAATGTATATTAGTTTGAGGCAAATATAGTTAACCAAAATAGGTTATGAAATTGTAATGACCATAGAAGGTTTGGAATCACTCATGTATCCATTATTTGGCACCAGAAATGCTAGGACCAATTGTATCTATAACAAGATAAATGGATAATATTAGTAGAAGATAATTCAACAAGATTAATAATACTATACAGTAATTATGTGCTGGAGTATGGAGATTTAGAATAATTCAATTAAGTTGGTTGTGTGCCCTGTAGAAATAAATCTTTTTGAGAGTAAAATATTTTGGGTAAGCAACATAGCACGTGGTATTCAATGAAACAGAGATATAGGAATAGCAGGATCTCAGATAGCTTCAAGGACCAAGAAACTTTTATTTGGAAATAAGCCCAAAACTGTATAATTGCATACCTACATAGTGATTTTATTTTGTTCATAAAGTTGGAGTTATCTATTGATTAATTCAAACCTTACTTGAACAAGGGTATCTTCCCTGCAACTGCGACATTTCACTGGTGTATTTGGAGGAACATCGTAATTTTTGCGGCAATTGTTGCAAGTAGCTGTCCATAAAGATCTTTTGTCCCCTAAATATTTTAGCTTGCTAGCGACCCAACAAGTTTTAGTCTAGCCAAGAAATGATTAAGTCAGTGGGTGAATTTTTTAAAAGTTGAACTTATGGTGCTGAATATATTATTTGATTTGTATAAGTGTAACACAGTGTAGCTTACGTATCTGATTGAGGCAGCTGCGCGTTGTATAGTGATTATATCAGTGTCAGATGGGTATGGAAACAATCGGTCTGTGTCTTTATACACGCCTTCCTCCACAAGCTTTGCAACATTTGTTTTCTTTTCAGTGTACCTATTAAAGAGTATGTGAGACGCACTAAAGAGATATGTTGTAATGGTACAATGACTTTATTAGAAATTAATTCAATGCGTACCACTGCTTCAATCTGTCAGTAGCCGGTATTGTGGATTTATCATCAAGCAAGTTCCTGTCTTAGTCGATAAGGACAATGCTTTATGAGGGCAATTGTGTTAGTGAGACATGAACAAACAATTATTTTTTATGTATAAAATTAACCTGCGGTATAGAATACCATTAAATGTCGTAACTCTTGCTCTCATGCATAAAACTATGTTCCCAGTTGCGACTGTGCTAGCCAAGTGTTCACCCACATCATCTTCTGTTTCAAATTGGTTTCAGAGAGTCAAAAGGATTGGCTTTTCCCTGTGGAACAAAGATATATAAGTATAATTGATATATTTACAAAATTTGATGATGTAGAATAAAATGCTTACTCTTCATTGACAATGACCAAGTCTCGTGCTATATTTTTTTGCCCAAGACTCTTCACCGGAGAAGCATGTACAATAACACCAAGCAGGTCTAGTAAAGTTTAAATGCAATAGTGTTCATTGGTATGTTGTTTAAGAAAATGATGCAGTAATTTTAAAGAAACAAAGATTTTTTATTTTAAGCAATTGAACTTACTTCTGGGATTTTTTGTATCAGCATATCTGTGCAAATCCTCAAATGCGTGAATTTCAATTTGGCATGGAAGTGGAGGAGGCACCTTTTCTTCAAACTCCTCAACTAAAGTCTTTTTATGCAGGAGCCAATTGAATTCGTACGGGCCAACTTGGTACAGCGGGGTTTCTGGCCGCACCTTTGCTCCGGTAAGGTAGTATCGCTTGTATGGAAGTAAAAGGCCATCAAATTCCTCCATGGCTGCTTTATAAACAACAGCAGCTACTCTGGTACCCTGTTATGTGAGAATAATGAATTTATTATAAATTTATTTGAGGTTTGTTTTGAAAGTAAATTAATACACAAAAGCATAAGGCATTTACAAACCTCTCCATCAGTGAATAAGTATCTTCGATAGAGCACCTGCGGATTACTTTTGCTTGTTTGAATCGGCGCTCTTTCAACGACTTGAATGAATGCAGTCCAGTGGCACGTTTCATCAGTGATTTGGCTAATGGGCAAATAGGTCCTCGACATAATCACCTGCATTTATTGATAAGATAATATCGAACAGGGAATTGAATTCTTTTGTAAGGGACAGGAAGTTGGTCATCACTTGAAGGTTTTAATGGAATTCTATGTATGAATACATTTTTCCCTTTGAATTCTCCTACATTTTTCCGTTGCATAATCCTTCTGTTGGGTCTAAATTCCTGAGTAATATGATAGGAGCATTTACTTTTAACTGTAGTTTATGTGGAGGCATACCACCAGGTGTTAAAAGAATTGATAATGTCTTCATACAGGCCTTTATGAATGGGGTTGATTACTTCATCAAAACTAAGATACTCAACTAATTGTCCAGGGAAATCTTTAATGAGTTTGTTATTTATTTCATCAACAAAATTGTTTTTTGTAGCTAATATTGCTCTATTCATAGGGAAACTGGGCTGGTTATCTTGGTTTTCTTGAGTATAGATAGTTTTTTGCAGTGAAGTGCGGCAAATTTCAGGATATATTGAAGTTATTAATTCTTGTAAGGCAGCTTCAGAATCTGTGTGTTTTATTACAAGCGAAGCAGGTAAGTGAATTGTATTGTTTCCATGAGTTGGCTCTATCCATTTCCTTTTCTTAATAAGTATTCAGTAAAAGAGGGATCATATCGTGCTCTCATATTTTCTTTGAGTTCAATTTTTTCAAGCAATGGCCAAATATAAGAATTCGTGATGCATGCACTTATTGTATCTTTTTTATTTCCTTTGCGTACAACTGGTAAAATTTGTCTAAAATCACCACCGAAAATGATAACCTTACCACCAAAAAAGGTTCATTTGAATCTGTTAAGTCTTTTAATAAGGTATCGAGCGACTCTATTGATGATTTCTTAGCCATTGGTGCTTCATCCCACACAATTAGTTTACTTTCACGTATTAAGTCAGTTAAATTACTTTGTTTACTAATTTTGCATGTTTTTCCCTTTGACAGATCTATAGGAATTTTTAACCTTGAATGAGCTGTTCTTCCACCGGGCAAAATTGAAGCGGCAATGTCAGAAGTTGCTGTTGCCAAGGCTATATATCCTTTAGATCTAAAGTCAGCCAGTAAAGCTCTATAAAGGAAAGTCTTGCCTGTTCCTCCAGGGCCATCAATAAAGAAAGCACCTGGTTTTCCACTATAGACACGTTGTTGTATTAGAGTGAAAGAGTTTTTCTGGTCTTTATTAAGTGAGAGAATAGTATTTAAGTCTTCTTGGGTAACCACGATGTTTTTCTCTACTGTTATTTCTCTATTGTTTTCTCCAATGTCAATAGGTATATCAGGAGGTATTATGTTGAATGCATGGATATTTTTTCCCATTGATTCTAGAAAACCATTTATTTGTTCTAAGACTTTTCTCTTAACATCTATTTTATTTAAATTTGAATGCCTTGTGAAATCCTCGGACATAGAAGGTTCGAATTTTTGAAATAGATCGGCTGGATTGTTAGGACATGAATAAACAAGTAAATTTGAAAAAAGGTGTCTCATTTCATATGGAATTTTAAAAAGTGATGCTTCTTCTAAGCATAATTCTTGGGTGTTATCATCTTGAAGCAAGCCTCTTGCAAGAGCAGCTTCACGATATGATTTAGTAACTTTTTTTATTAAACGTCCTGATATCTTTGTAAGATTTTGGGTCTCTAATGTGCAAAAGTAGAAGTTTAAGGTAATATCTTTCACCTTCATTTGGATGCACAGTAACTATTCTAGCTATTGAATCCTTTTCTACTCGTTTTTTTCCATCTTTTCTCTTCTGTTAGCCATACAAAGTGTTCTGGGAATTCTAAGTAAATCAAATTTAATTTTTTTGCATTTGGGTCTGTTCTATTCATGAAAAAGAATTCTGTGAGCATAGTTCTATGGTTTCGTGGATTATTTACAATTCTGTCTAATCTTTCCCCTTTTTTGTAATTGATTGTTTGATAATTTTCTAAATGCACTGACAAATTAATAACAACTGGTTTTGTTTCGCTAATTGGGAATCTATATATCCTCCATGCAGCTTCAGGCGGAGAAACCCAACGGGCTGTCCTAAATTGTTCTATGTCGTCAATTTGCACATTTTGATTCGATGTATCTATATGGAAGGCAATTTTGTCATGGCCTTTACAAATATATTTATAAATATATTTCACAGCTCGTATAGAAGAACAAATTTCTACATTTATATGACAATTAAACTTTGCAAGTAAGTACGGGCTATAAGGCACAACCCATCTATTATCTAATTTATAGCCTCGTACTTTTATTTTCACATTATTATCTCGCCTTTGATATTTTGGATATGAATTATTAACTTGAATAGTTGTCTCTGAAAATTGTTTTGGATAATTAACACTTATTTTTTGAATTCATGCATGAATTAGTTGGATGTAAATCTCCACATGGCCCATGCATCATATGTTTTTTGACCATATTATATAAATGTGGATTTAATGTTTTTTTTGGTATTTCAGCACTGACAATTTTGTCAAATTCTTCAGGCCTATATAATTTATCTTTGCTTGCTAGGATTATCAACATGTGGGCATGTGGTAACCCTCTTTTTTGAAATTCTATTACGTATGTATATGCTACTATTTCTCCGAAGATATTTTTTTTTAGAATATCCTTTTTGAGTTCTTCAAATTTTCCGTGGAAGACTCTAGCCACTAAATCAGGTCTATTCTGCGACTCCTCGTTTTGTTTTAAAAGTTCTTTAATTTCAGGCCAGTTCGGATTACATGTCATAGTTAAAAAAATGTCAGGCTTTCCAAATCTTTGTACTAATGTCATTGCATCTAAATATCTCTTTTTCATATTTCTTGGGCCACCTATAAAACTGGCCGGCAAAAATACTCGCTGTCCAATTTTGGACGCATTTGTTTCTCCTGCTGCTATACAATCTTGTATGCCTTGTAAGAATTCTTGTCTTATTTCAGTTTGTTGTTTTCTGAAAAAGTCTAACCTCTGGGACTCAATTTTCACATACATATCCACTATATATTGTTGAAATAATCTACCAAAATTTAATAAGCATGACTCATCATTTTCTCTTATCTGTAATTTGTATGCATAATAGTCCCTCATTGAAACAAAATTCCGACTCGATGCTGATCCAATGTTAGCTGGAAAGATAAGACATTATTTGTGAGTAGTTGTCATATATGTCAATAGGGTTTTGTTTAAAATCAATAACTGGCAATCTGTAAGCACAGCGAAAAATATTACGATAAGGTGTTTTATTTATTAACTTACCATCTTTTGCTTGGATTAGTTCTTCAGCTGATTTCATATGAGAAGGTGTAATTGCACGCACCGATGTTAGTGGATGCTTTTTTTTTTTTGAAGTTGCACCGCTTAATTTTTCAATACCTCGGTGCCAATCAAGTTCACCGAATGGAAAAAGCAATGGATATTGCAATGGATCATAACAACCAAAATAATATTGTATTCTATGTGACAAGCCAGTACGATTATACACTCTTATGTTTCTTTCAGATGTTTCTTCACTATCTTCGCCCTCTACCCATATTGCAGCTACTTGAGATGCTTCTGGCTTATTATAAACTCTTTGATCAATTTTTGGTATAGTCTTTATTATTATTTCATATTCAGCTAAATTATCTATCTCATTTAGGCTTCTAAAAAACTGTGCATATGGATTGCTCCTTAAAACACTCAGTATTTTTTCAATTATAGATTCTGTTAATCTAGGGCAAGCCTTTAATCGATTTGCAATTTCATTTTCAGTGTCATGAAAATATAACTGCAAATTTTGAGATGACTCTAAATCATCTAAGAAGTGGTACAGTTGCCCTTGTATCTTAAATGTGTAAATCCCTTTATTGCGTTTACTTAAATTTTCATCACATTTGACCCCTAAAGATGTAAATGCAAATTGGTTGTTGATAGTTCTGGTACAATCTCGGAAAAGTTTAGATTCCTCATTTGTGGAGAAAAGTAAATCTTTTATGACATTTGGCAAAGAGTTATTTGCTAATACGATTCTACCATTGGAACAGCAAAATGCACTTGTTTCATATGGAAATTTTATAGCATTACAATAACAACATTTTTTGGTAGGTGGAAAAATAAAAGGCTCAGTTGCTATGTTATCCAAAATAATATCAGTACAAAAGGGTTGACTTTGATAAGCAAATGTATTTCCTAAAAAATGAGGGGTGGGTCTTTTTTTTTGCGTTCCACCTTTGAATAGCATTCTACTTATATCCTTTGTTAGGAAGGTCCACTGTACAACTCGACATTTGCAAAATTGTTTTGTTTGTTTTATTGGCTATTGCAGAATTTATTGGTTTATCTATCTTGCTTATAGTAGGCCCCAGCCTATTCATTTGATGTTCATTGATGTTTTTGTTTGTTTCAGTAGAAATTAAATTTAAAGAAGTATTTGCTGAGTTTTGTCGAAACGTACTCGCATGCTCGGCTTCGTTGGCATATTGACGATATCTTTTCTTAGAGTTTGGAATTACGTTCAGGTACTGCCAATTTTCCGACAATTCCTTATTCCTATTAGACATTTATTGCACTAAATTGTGTAGCTTTTAAATATAACAAAACCAAGTTTAAAAATTTAGAGTAGCTCAAAAAAACAAACCAGTTATATATGTTTATAATGTCTTAGCTGATAAACTTATGATAACAGAAGGACACAGTTTTTTTTTAATATTTGTTTTTAATGGTAATATTTAACCTAGACACTTGAGCCAATGTTGTTTGATTTAGCCTATCTTAATTTTACCATACAAACTGTAGGTTGAACAGTGACCTAATACACCGGAGCCGCACAATGTACAGAAACACAAAGAGCGAAGGAACTATGAATAACCAGCAACTCAGTAAATTTGGCTAAATAAACAGGAAAAACAGAGAAATCTTATCTACATAACAAACAGACACCTAGGATTAATGCGTAAAGTGCAAAAGCACGCAAGCAATAACTAACAGGGTAATAGTAAAGCTAAAGCTAAACACAACAGAAAGCAAACGAAAAATAGTTAATAGGCAAT